AGATAAGGGCATCTTTCCCTGCGTAACACAGATCTGACCATTTATTTCTCCCTCAACTGGAAAACGGTAACATTAATGAAAAGTGACGCATGACATACTGAATGCAATTGTGTTGGTTAAATCACTCGCACAATTGGTACGGTCTTTGTAAAGACATGAGTATGGCTTGTGTTTTGTACGATCTTGGAAATGAGACGTCATTTTGATATTTTTGCCATTTTCTTGCAAAATAGAGAAATAACCTTAAAACAATAAGGCCAACATTGGCCACTGTGATGTAAAAGGTTCCGATGCAATTTAAACACAAAACTTAAGATATCGAAATTCTACAGCAAAATAAATCTGGGGGTGGCTGCATTCAAATTATGACAAAGTATGTGTCCTTGAAATGTACGTTTTAATAAAAGAGCTTTAGTTTCCTGCTAAATATTTTAATGCACTGTATTTTTACAAAGTGCGTGGTTACGGAGTTTACGGGCGAGTTTGCAGGTGCTCAAAAGAATTCAGAATACGGCACTCCCAACACGATACGCTTCAACTATGGAAAATGTAAATATTCTAATCCTTCACTTTACTAATCTACCGACACTTAATACACTGTGACAATAGAACCGTAAAGGAAATCTACACCAGACACAAAATAGCTCTAGGGATGATGCAATTGTCAAGCTTTACATTCATTGGGCAACATTTCAGGTAATAGACCTACTTCAGAGCACTATATCGATAATTATATAAATTTTTATTTTAAGGCAGTTTTGTTGCAGAGTGTCGATTTTTTTTTATTAATTGGGCTTGGGCACCGTTGCCAAAACAGAAATCCCAAATAATTAGCATTAATTAGGATACCGTTTCGCTTAAAACACTGATTGTCTAGACAGGAAAGATGCACTTGAATGTGCACGCTATCTGTGCAAAGCCTGGGGGCTTATTGTTGACAATCATTTCCACTGTGCAGTATAAATGAATAGTGTTAATTACTGATATGGGTACGCAGGCAGATTTAACACACATGCAACAACACGAAATCCCATGATGCACTTCTAACATCCCAAACGATGGAATTACTGGGGATAACAGTGACATTTTTTTTTACTAATGATTAGTTCTACACTAAACATGTGAAAAAAAATCGCATGACATTTTATTTCGGTGGTACATCCTTAAGTGTGTATAATCGGTTTTATTTGAAAAACAGACATTCCCAATTACAGACGGCTTCAACACAGCTCCCAAAATACCCTGCTTGAAATCAAAGATTTTGAAGAATCGTTAGTAGCACGAAGGACATTCTACAGTAAAAGCCTCAATTACCATCCAAGCTGGTGCTTTCACAAGTGCTTCTTTATCAACATTCAGACCATTATGTATATTATTTCAAAGAAGTGTAACCCCTCTTAATGCCCAAGCATTGCACTTATACTAAAAAAATAAAACCCTTGTTCAAATTTAAACACCCAACGGCCTTGATAGCGTGATGCGCACAACGCAGCACATTAGCTCTGCTATGCTAATTGATGATTGTCAAAGATAATTTACCGTAAAGGCTATAAAATATATATATTGTTTGACCTTTATGCAAGAACTTACATTTAATTTATCCGCACACAACTTTGTCATGAACACACACACACACAATTGTGGCGATTCATGAACGTGGTGCTGCTCTTGTGCAGAAAAATATGGTAAAGCATCATTCGTATACGATAAAAAAAACTTACTCGAATGACCTAGGTGCAAGCGACACCTCTCATACATATGTAAGCAGGTGACTAAGTGTTAAGTTGGTCTCTGAAACACTGCCATGTAATGTGAATTGCATTTAATAGGCTTGCCAGTATGGGCAGGTCCCAATAATACCCAACGCCACAGTTAAAGCACTCACTACTTCAATTACTCTAGATACCGAGGCTCAAAGTACTGTACAGTTCCAAATCGTCTTTGCCTAACATTCATCACGTTCAATGTATTAAAAGCAACATCCTGTATGGAATATTTTCGTAGCAGGTAATACGAATACAAACCCCCAATATTATGCTGAACTAGGGTGTAAATGTGCACTTAGCTTTCTTGCATTTATAAAGCTAACCGATGGTCAACTAAAATGTCGGAGAAAACGTTCCACTAGGGGTCCATTGCTGGAACTGAAAAGCAATTGGTCTAAGGCTTGAGTATCTTCCTTGGGTAGAGGATAATGGGGGTTAAAGGCCCTGTCTTCATGGTCACTAAAATAGTCTCCTGAAACAGTTGTTCTGTTTGCCTGTCATCACTAATGAGCGAACGTTTTGCCGTCCACCTGCTCAAGAGTTGCATACGTACAACATAAAACAAGTGTCTGTATGGATACAGTTAAAACCATGTGTGACATATCCTAGAGTTTTTTTTTGTTTAAGATTGCAATACAGTACTTCCTAAGCCAGTACAACTTTGCTGCTAAAATCAGAACCCAAAAAAAGTGCACGGCACGTCCAAGACAATCCATTCATCTCAGACTGCTACCGAAATGTATTGACAATGGACTAGTGGAGTACCTTTCATTAATAAACGTCGTCAATCTCACCGGCTACTTTTCTGACAATATTTATTATAACGGCAACTTTCTTATAAATATTAAATCAGGAGGGGAAGCGGCCAATGGCTCGACATTAATAAATGCATTAACCATCGGATGCATCAACTCCCCTAAGGCACTACAGTAGTGTACACGCAGTGGGTAAGTGGGTCGCGGGTCCATGGCAAGTCTCCGCTAAGATCACGGAGACCCCAGCACAATTTACCAAATGACAATAACAAAGGGCCAACATTAGGCCATCGTGGGGCAGTGCTGGCCCAATGCGCCACTTTAAACTTGGCTACATGGTTTAAACAAGAAAATGTTTTGTGAGTTACGGCTGTTGAGATGGCTATGTTGGCTCTCCATTAGGCCATGAATAAAATGTAAAACGCTAACAAAGGCAAGTATCATTTGGCACGATTTGTCTGGCGTCCTATAGTTCCATCAAGCCGTGCGAGATAAGCTGGTGTGTTGCTTGCATATGGTTACAAGGTTACATTGTAACTTGGGTAGCAATCCCTCTGTTACGGCTGTCAAAGATGTTTAATTTAAAAGTGATGCACAACGCACATCCAGTACTTCTTAAGACTTGGCTTGAAGTATACGTGATGCAGTAGGGGTGGCGACACCATGGGTGTACATTTCTGGCAGCGGTATTCTCGTGTGTTCAATCGTCCGTGGATTTCACACTTCTCTCACTCCGTCAATCAGTCACCTTTGTTCAGAACGAGGTGAGAGCCCATTGAGACAATGGAGCTCTGCTGTATAATAAGGAAGGCGTGTATTGCACATGTTTTGTGCATCCTTTGATGGTGCAATAACGTGAATAAGTGCATCCTGTGGGGAACTTCTTTCGTGAGAAGCTCTATACATAAAACGGTGACGACACTAGTGATGATGCTTGGTATATTGACAATGACGGTGACGATGATTACCATTGTCTACTTGCTGCCCTCGCAGTCTGGAACTGCCTCCCCCAATCCATCCGCGCTATCGAACTCCCCCTTGCACAATTTTCATCAGCCTATGACAAACACTGCCTACGTCAATACATTGCCTCCCACCGTATCTGTACAACGCGTTAAAACTGAAATTGCACTGAGTCGCGACATACATCCTCACTGTATTGCACGATGATGGTGTCTACGACGACGATGATGATAATAATAATGACGCGACGTTTTTAGAACACCAAGCGAGGAGACCTCAAATAAAATGCCTAGGTTGAAGAGAAGTTATTATCCACGTGCTATGTACACCACTGACTGGCTTGGGGTTCACCATGCGAGCCCTCATTCTCCCCCCCCCTCCCTCTCTCGCTGTCTTGGTCTGTTTCGTTCGAGTGGGGCGTGCGTGTGTGTTTCTTGTGCGTCTGTCTCTTCTCTTTCATACTCAAGCAAGGTCATTCAAAACAAAAGTGTGCGCTGAGAGAGAGAGGGAGAGAGAGAGAGGCGCTGGGCGCCTTCATGAATTTATGAATGAGAGGCGCCACGTGACCCGAGGCCACTGTAAAAAGCACTCAAAGGCGACCACCGCCTTTTGTGATGGTGGCAGATTATTGTACAAACACGCACACACACATATAAATTGTGTTACACACACACACACAACATGAATCGCACAAGAGCACGTCCGCCGCGCGTTCGATGTGTGTTAATCGGTGCGGGTTTAGGAATTGAACAAAATGTTTATAACAAGATGACAACACGCTCGAAGAGCTCTCGCACGCCCGCGCTCGGATAGCGCAGGCCCACTGGGCGCCCCCCACCCCCCTCTCGACATTCCCAATTATAACAAAACCCCACGCGGCTTGTAACGTGTGCCATTGTTACACGTCCCTTGCCGCGAGCCTCGTCTTATATTGTGCTTCGGTTATCATCGTCATCAACATCGTCGTCGGAAAGAGATAACCGGCCACACATTAACGCCCCACTGCCACGGCGCATTGTGTGACGGGTTAATTATTACATTATTTCACGGGAGGCCTAGTGCTGGTGGTGGTTTTTTTGTGAATGAACGTCCCCGCGTGCGGATGGAGGCGAACCAAAAACGAAACACGCCCCGGTTAAACACACACACACACGCAACGCTTGCTCGAATCCACACCATGCCGGTACGAACCTCATCCTCCTCCTCCTCCCTCACTCGCCTGCAACCCCGCTTCACGCGACCAACGTTGCTCCACCAGATCGAACAACAACACAACGCGAGCCGTCACCGACCGCTCCGAGATTAAAAGCGGCCGAACACCCGAATTGGTTACATCGCGCACTGTACGCGCACTGTACCGTCAATGCAATCGCCACCAGCACCACCACCACCCAAAGCACTGTCATCGCCGGATAGGCTCACAAACACCGCGAGAGAAACGCGGTCGATAGAGGGGAAAAAAAAACCCCAGGAGGGTACTAAATAAAGTGTCGTGTTGTGTGCTGCGTTTACTCACTCGTCTGCACTGCACTCCTCGTTCATGGTTTACGAGTCTCCGCTCTGGGCACCATCTGCTGATGGAGCTCTCACATGGTCCGTGCATGTGAACGAGTTAGACCCACGGGGGCCCTGCCTCGATTACTCCCGTCGGCTTCGAGCCTTGCCCTGCCGCCGCCGCCGCCGCTGATTACTGCTGCTGATTACTGCTACGAATAATGAATAGTACGTGGAAGGCGATTAGTTAATTGGTGCGATGGGTGAATACAGTGTTACAGCGGCCGAGAGGCGCGCGCACACAACACACACGCAACACAACACACACGCAACACCACACACAACACACAACACCACCCCCCTCGACAACCCAACAAAGTTGAGTTGGAAAGAAACAACAAAGAAGATTATTTAGGACGGCCACGGGCAGAGGACGTCGCCGAGTAAAGGAGAATAAGAAGAAGGGACGTTTGCTATGAAGAAGGGAAAAAAAAGTTTGTAAACTCGCTCACTAACGACGGGAGTAATAAATATAAAAGAAATCAAAAGTGGAGCGTGCGCAGCGCGGGTTGGGTTTTAGTGAAGCGCGTCGCGGAGCGCTCTCCGGGCGAGAGGAAGTGAGGCGGTCGCCCCTGCACCCCCCACCCCCCACAGTCAACCCAAGCACCCACCCCTGACGTGCGCCGCGATTGGCAAATAGGTCGTTTCATTTTTTTTTAAAACCCATCCCTTTGTCTATCAAGTAAGGGCCTTCCCCCCCCCCACGCCGTGTCGCTTCGTGGGGGTATATGCGACCATACTTCACCACGCTGGTCAATGCGGATCGGTGAAGACCGGAAGCATATACGCGGTGACATAGAAATACAGCACAACGCGATGTGCTGCATCGCCCTCTGCTGTCCACCACGCAGCCCTGCATCCACTCGCATTGTACGCCGCGTTTTAACGCGGAGAACGTGCCGGCGAAATGTCCCGACGGTTCAAGGCTCCCTCCCTTCCTAAGGCTCGAATTTTTCATTCCCTCCACGTTAACCGGAATTGTTTTCCAATTTTCTCCAAACTGTTTCCAACTCTCAACTCTTAAAAGACTCATGCTGCCGACAGTTTTTTTTAATTATTATCATCATAGACCCCCCCCTCTCCCCACATGATTAGAGTGCTGAAACATTTTGCTAGGTCCACGGTTATAAGTTGTACATAGGGCCGTCCATAAATGACGTCAAGCTATTTTGGACGATTTTAACCCCCCCTCCCTTCGTCACACGGCGTCACAAAAAGTCAGACCCCCCAAATATGACGTCTCAAAGCTCTGCCCCCCCAAAAAAAACACATGCTTCAAATCGCTTTAAACTATTGTCATTGTAGTGCGTATTTAATGTGGCGCTGCACTCTGATGTTGTAGGAGAAAACATTGATTAAAAAGTATATTTAATTAAGTAGAACGTGTTGTCTATATTTATTTAAAGTTGCGCATTTTGATGTGACGTCACATTTCTCAACCCCCCGCCCCCCCCCATGTCACACATCGTCATAAATGTCTGACTCCCCCCCCAAGGTGCGTGACGTCATTTATGGACGGCCCCATAGGTCATCGTTGATACCATGAGTCCTGTTGCTTTGGTCAGAATGGGCCCCGACTCGACTATGAATACAACATACTTGTGCCATGACCGACTGAAGTATTCTTATCATACACATGTCATGTATATGTAAACAAAAAAAAACTACATACATCGTTCCAAGTTTAACACAACTTTTCATAATACTAAATGCAGCATTGCAAAAGGTACAGCGTACTTTGTACACAGACTTCAAGCTGCTGCTTAACCATCTTGAAAAGGCGTTAGTGGCCAGTTACATTAAACGTTTTAAGATATGTTTTATAACACGGTATTAATTGTGTTTTTTTTTTAATTAACAATGTATGTTTGATTTTAAATACATCATGTTCCGCTTTATCATGCACAACCACGTTCATATAAGCCCCAAGGTCAGATGGTAAACCCGTGGGCATCATTGGAGAAGTGAAACCAGTTGCTTGAATACAATTCGTGGACATATTCACTCACATATTTACACAGAACCATGAAACAGACTACATCAATAATGAAATGATACTCCAATAATCCTATCAAAATGGGGATAACAATTCACGTGATTAATTGCAGACCAATTCACCTCAGCGCATATTTATATAAATTGCACACGAAGAATATTTAGAAGCCAAGAAACCACGTGAGAAAGCCACGTTTAAGAAATAGTTCTCTACCACTAGCCACACAATACCACGAATAAGACCGTGTAAATGTGGAGTGATTATCTAATGCATTATGCCCATCCTTTTTAGATTATGATAATGCATTCGACACAGCACATCTAATAAAAAAAATGTTATGAAATCAAACATGTAGACAGTACTGAACTGTGTTTAACAAGTATAAAAATAGCAACAAACGTGCCATATGATTTTCTTTATCAGAATATGTATTTATACTAGAGGAATCCGATGAGCTATAAAGCTCTTTTCCACAGATGTCCAGTAGGGGCGAGTAAGAACGTTACAACATCAAAACAGTACAAAAACATGATAGTAGTGAACAGTACAAGAAAGGTTAACAAATCGCCCAAACGCAAACAAATAAAACTAAACCATCCCCATCCTACTTAGGCAAAGCCCACTCAAGTATCGGACTTATCTTTCATAAGCGACTTGGCCACAAATGATAGCTCAACAAAGTGGCCCATCAATTGGACATTTATAGCACCAAAATAATCTCCAAGGCTGCTTGACATGGGCAAAATAGGAAAAGTCCGCTTAAGGTGTGTTAAGCAAACAGGCAGTGAAACAATACTGTACAATCAAATGTCCCCACGATTAAAAAAAAGTGTTCTCTGTTGGTGGTCCAAGATAGTGTTGTAAATTCCACATTCGTATGGTGGCTAGGTAGGCTATTTAGTAAAACCATCCACTTTTTACAGAAGGAAGACGTCAACAGTGGAAACATTAAATATATAAACGTATGCATTGTAAAGACAGGTTTAAGTAAACTTCCTGGAGTTATTCATATTTACTGTCATACTGTATTATTGTGCATGCAATGATAAAATTGTACATGTAACGTGGTTGTCACATTATATACATGCCAGACATGATGTGATTCGTGCCTTCCAACTGTTTGTGAGCACACCTTTGTTGTTAATACTATCATTCATAACCTACTTGTTGAATGAATGTAACTGAATTTGGTTTTATAACGTACAAGCCAACCATGTACGGAAGACATAAGCAGTATAAACGCTTACAATATACTCTAATGCAACTTTTTTTAAACGTTTATTTTTAAGTGAAATTACAAACTTGAATCATTGTCTCTAGCTTATCAAAATAGTAAAGGAGTGAGGGGGGGGGGGTCCTAATGATGAGTGTTAAGGGTTTATTTTTTATGTCTGCAAATTATATGCAAATAGCCTTTGACCAATCAGAAGCTACGCAGAGTTGAGCTCCCATAGGCGACCAGCATCCACAACAGATGTCCTGGTACAGGCTGCGGAACTACGCCGCATATATAGACATCGTTATTGTACTGAACTTCTATGGTCCCCACTTCTACGTGTTTTTCGCCTTCTCCAAAACGCACTAACCAGTGTCGTGGAGTGTCGTCAAGATACCGTGGTACGGCATGGGGAGGGAGGGGGAGGTTACTCATCCAGCAGTGGTATGGCACGAAAAATGCCGTGGCGACGTGACATTTGGGCTTCACGGAGTGAACGAAGCTGTGCATTAGCGAGAGGACGAATGAGAAGCAACGCAAACGCAATGGTCGAATACAATTCCGTGCAGCACCGTCCACGATTGTATGCTAAGTAGAGAGACACCTACCGCAGGTGCGAGGATAGTAGAAGATCTGGCCCCAGCTGGTCATGGGTGAGCAGATTTATGGGTAGAAATAATTTGCACCTCATGCTATGGGGCACAGTGAGTTTTAATTTGCCCTGCTGCTCGAGTTGTGTAACATCCGACGAGTCGGTAATAAAAAAAAAACTGATCTTCCTTTGAATACTAATCCAAGCCTCGAAGCACCAAATTGCTAAACGGTGCCTTGTGAGGACTCCGCCTGGAGTCAGGTAATGGGTATGGTTGTTTTGGTAATATCTGAATACCGAACAGCAGCAAAATCAAACTACAATGCGTCGTCGCATATTCGACTGCCACGTATCCGGCATGAACAATTAACCGCTCACACCCAGCGAAGTCTTTTAAACGTATTTTTTTTCCATAATCCTTATCTTTTCTGTTCACGGTAATGCCTGTTATTCATCCCACGTATCCGCGCCTATGCCCCCCCCCCCCCCCATCTAAGGCACGGCAAAGCGCGTTTCATGCATCAAGCAGTTTGACATTTCTTAATTTTGTTTTAACCAGTCGCCTCTTTTTTGTGTTTTTGGTCCGTGCTTCAACCCTCATTTTGCCAGAAGATGTTTACATATCCAACATGCTCACGTATCCGCATATGCGACGTTTTACTCTGCTGTATTGATATTCACAGACACCTGTGAATTAAGCAAGTAATAATAATAACAACCACTCATTGTTTTTTCCCAAATACTACGCAACAATGCAGCACGGTGCTTCATGATGACACGTGGTACGGCTTCCAAACACTGCACTGTAACTGCGTTCAGCAAGGCCCCGGCGAGCGATGGGTGCTGAGGTGTGGTGATTTTTTTTTGGAAGTGAAAAGAAAACTTTCCCCGAAAGTAGATTCTGCGTCCTGTCGTTCTGGTATGCAAGCCTTGTCAAACTCGCTCCGTTTCCCATGACACACACACATACTCTGAATCCACGTGGTCTACTGCTAGTCAGAATAATTATTTTAGACTGCAGGAATCTGGTGAGCTATGAAGCTCCCCCCCCCCCACACTCACACGGACGTCCAGTAAAGGGGCAGGTCAGAAAGTTACTACAGCAATAATAAAAAAAACAGATATGAGTGCAAAGTATAGGAAAGATAAGCGAGTCATTATAGATAAATACATAAGAATCAAGTATATAAGGACACGTTGTAAAGGTATACCAATTCCTGTCGATTTCTTTGTCAGGACTCATCCCTCATATGTGAACATCATCATAATTATAATAGTTTCTCATTCAACTTCATATTTTGTCGCAATTTGAACCATTGTAGAAGTCTCCTGCTTAATACGTTTTTTTGGCATACAATTGCGTTAAAGTTCGCTATTATTGAACCCTTGATTGTTGATGATAATTATCATCATCAACACGCTTATTGTAGCCGTCAGCAGGTGAACTGAAGCCATGCATAACTACAGTTGTCCAAAACCCTTTTTTATGTTTTGATAAATACAATTTTGGTCGATCCTGGGTCAAGACGAGTAACTGTGTGCGAAATGTTATCAGTCTTCTTTTTTTTTACCCAGGACGTCCTCGTGAGTTCCAAGACTCTTTTGCACCAAGGGTTGTGCGTTGGGATGTTTGGCAAACTCCATTCACGAACTGTTTGGCTTGTGGGAGGAAGTTGGAATACCCAGGAAACAGTCCCACACATACGCAGGGGGAAACGCTTAAAGCTCCACACAGATGGAATCAAGAATCGTTTGCTGTAC